AGTAGGGAGCCTTGCGAACCTGCGGAATGCCGTGCTTGGCCAGGAAACCCTGGATCAGGTGTGATGAATGAGCTGGGGTGTTGTCATGATGCAGCTGCCAGTTGCGTGCGCCCCACAGCTCCGGTCTCTTGCGCCGAACTGCATCATGAAGATGGCGGAGGACTTCTTGGTAGTACTCCTTATTGACGGTCCAGCCTAGTGGTGTGTACTCATGATGCACAACACCCCGGTAATAAAAAAATAGGCAGTATCACCTTCACATTGCTCCAAACCTGTCTTGCTCTTTTGGGCCTCGGGATGTTGGATGCTTCCATTATGATGCCTGGACCTTGGTTTCTGGGTCATATCCGTACACCCACGACTTGTCACCAGTGATCACAGTTTTCAGGAACTCAGGATCCCTGTTGGCGCACTCCAGCATGTCCTGCGCTACCTCAAGATGGAGTTGTTGCTGCTCTGGCGAAAGCAGCTTGGGCACAAATTTTGCCGCCACTCTTCGCATGCCCAAATCCTCAGTTAAAATTGTGTTTGTGGAACCTCTGCTGATCCCAACCTCATCAGCAACTTCAAGGATGGCCAAACGACGGTCCTCCATGATCAGTGTCCGCACTTTTTCAATGACATCAGCATTGACTGTCTCTCGGAATGCTAGTCACTGCCCGCTGACATACAGCCATGTTTAAAGCGGTTGAACCACTCTTTAATTTGAGTGACCCCCATTGCATCATCGCCAAAAGCCTGCTGAATTTTGCGAATTGTTTCCACTTGGGTATCCCCAAGTTCCTGACAAAACTTAATGCAGTATCGCTGCTCGAAGCGTTCTGTCATATTGAGCGAAACGAAAATGCGACAAACACGTGTAACACCACTTCGCCATCTGGCAGCCACAGACGCATCTGGCAGTGTTGCGAGTCAGCAAAACATCACACATGCGCATGAAAGTCCCTTCTACCACTACGCTCAGTTTCCCCATCCCTTTGGCCATTACTTACAGCGGGAAAAAATAAAGTCGGATACTGTTTGGACATACGGTATATATGGAAATGAACTATTAAAGGAATGTGACAGATAGTATATTGGATTATTATTATTATTATTATTATTATTATTATTATTATTATTATTATGATTATTATTATTATTATTATTATTATTATTATTGGAATATGTTTTCTCAGCTAATGAAAGGAAATATTCATTAAATGCACTTGCGATAGCTTGTGGATTGTTAGTGGACTTCCCTTCAATATTCAAACTTTGTACGTCTTCATTAACAGATTTCTTTCCTGATTCAACTTTCACAATATCCCAGGTGGTTTTAATTTTATTGTTTGATTTTAGAATTTGGCTGTTATAGTTATTCTGTTTGGCTTCTTTAATGACTTTTGACAAAATTTTACAGTACATTTTGTAGTGACTTTTTAGTCTTGGATCATTACTGTCCCTACTGGCCAAATATAGATGTCTTTTATGTTTACATGAAGTTTTTATTCCAACAGTTATCCAGATGGTTTTGTTTTTAATGTCATTTTTTACTATTTTTAAGGGAAACCTTGAATATAAGATCCTCAAGTATGTGTTCAGAAAGCAATTAAATTTAGAATCAATATCACTGCTGTCAAATACAGTGTAAGATTAATTACTTAATTTTGTGACAAAATCTGCCATCGTTTGCTTGTTGATTTTCCTTACTGTTTTATATTGTTGGTTATTGGGCTGAAGGTTAATATTATTTATTTCTATGAGTTGGGCCTCATGATCGGACAAGCCATTTATAAAGGGTCCTACAGTAAAGTCTCTTATTTTTGAGTTATCAATGAATATATTATCTATCACTGACCTAGAGTTATTTTGAATTCTTGTGGGAAAGTTAACAGTAGTGGAGAGATTGTAAGATAATAACAAAGAATCTAAGTTTAGTTTCCTATTACCATCGATGAGATAGTTTACATTTGAGCCATGTTATGGCTCTTGGATGATGTCATGCCTTCCAGCCATGTTAATCCCTACCCCTTCATCCCGTGCTGGAGTGTATCACGTGGGATTCCGCTTCCTCTCCCCGTCCCCTCCCCAAATGGCTCAGAAGAAGCCGGTTAGTGAATCTAAATTTATTCACTGTGTGGATCCACAGCGTATCGGACGTACGCGGCCAGCCTGGGATTCTTTTTTCAAATTCGGTTTCGGAAGGCATTCTAAATTATGTCTGGGAGGTTTTGCTGGCAACGCACGTCGGGGGTTTTGCTTGCATTATAAGTTATTGTGGGGCAGAGCGATGGGTTTTAATTTAAAGTTACAT